GGAGGGCGGCGGCGGCGGCGGTTCCTCCGAGGTCGCCATCGGGGCCTCGACGTGGACGAGGAAGTGATCGCTATGGCAACTGAGGGGGCCGCTCTGGTCTCCCGGACCGCCTCCGTGGTCTTTCCGGGGTACCGCTCTAGTCTCCAGGAGGCCGACTCTATGGTCTCTGCTCGCAGTCCGCATCCAAGGACGGGGAGGTCGGGCGGAGACGTTCTGCCCCAAAGCTCCCTTGGCACTCTATCGTAGCCATAGAGCGCGTAAGCGTAGAGAGAGAGAGAGAGAGAGGAAAAGGCCTTTAAGCTTGAGCGGGCCATCCGCTCCTCCACAGGGCAGCAGCTTCCGGTTCCGGTAGTGCTGGGTCCACGAGGGTTTTCTTGCTTCTCTGCGGCGCCTGCTTGGCGAGCTGTTGGGCGGGAAGGACGGACGATGCGGCCGCTCACGGAGGAGGAGACCCGCGCCCTCTTCGAGAAGCTCTCCAAATAGTAAGCCGCGGCAGCTGCCGCCCTTGATGGGCCGGGAGGGGCCCGCTTCGGATCATTCATAACTTGCGGAACTCACCGCCACGGGAAGTGGCTGGTCGGCTTGGCTGGAACGTGCGGAGCGCACTAGGAAGGAACCACCCGTGACAGATAGGGCAGCGAGGTGGAGCGTGCGTGGTCAGAGCAGAGCTGGAGAAATAGGCATGCTTTTTAATGGGCTCCCATGCCCAACCAGCGGGTGGTCTGAGTGGCATGGCCAAAAGTAACTTTCCTAGGCGCTTTCATTTTGATGGTGCTGGTTTCCCCCCAGGGAGTACCAGCAGCAGCAGCAGAAGTCCAGGAGGGCACCCCTGAACTGGGCTGCTGGATGGTGGTCTAATCCAGAAAGGCAATTCTTATGGAGAATAAATAAATGTAAAAAAAATAAACATTATGGAAATGTCCTTAGCGGAAGGCATCCTCTTGGTGCAGAGGCCCTGGGACCGTTCGAAGGGAACACAGAAGGGGGGGAGAGAGGGGTCGTCCTGATCTTCTGGGCGAGGGGAGGTCGGGTCAGATCAAAGAGGCTTCTCCGTCCTTGAATTATGTTGGAAAATCTCTTGGTTTTGCTCCTACACAGCATTGGCGAAAACATCCAACTCCTTATTGACCGGCCAGATGGGGCCTACTGTTTCCGCCTTCAAAAGGACCGGGTCTATTACCTCAGGTGAGGTGGGAGTCTGACGTCAGGCAGTAAGTGGTCTTGCCCTGCAGTAACAAGGCCCTTTCAGACGGCTTGCAATTATGGGCGCCTCCTGGTTTGAGCAGGGAGGGGTCTCATCCTGCCATGCTGGAGATGAAGCATTGCATCCTGCTTGGATCACAGGTGACGGCGGCGGCTGGCATTTCGCCATTATTCCATTCGCTCCTCCTGTGGGAGGCTGCAGAGATGCTGGAAAAGAGTTTGTGTTCTCAGAATAACTTGGACCTAAATCCACCCACTCTCGTCGCAACTCACGTAGGCCTGTTGAATCAATAGGATTTTGGGTTCTCAAGTCCCATGGATTTAACCGGGGGGGAAGGGGGGTTTGAGGTCAGAGCACTCTGAAAGGGAACAAAGAGCACTGGGAGAAGATCTCTCACACATAAATGCAGGCAATGGGACAGTATTTGTAACCCGTTGTGTACATTGGAGAACAGGAACTTGATATTTGGTGAAGGATTGGGCCACTGCCTTATTTTATCCAGTCTGGGCAGCACGTGTTCATTGTGATCCAAGGTAGGCCGTATCCAGGATTTGCTGATTTGAGGGTGAAAAATGGCACCCAGAGAAGATCTCTCACACATAAATGCAGGCAATGGGACAGTATTTGTAACCCGTTGTGTACATTGGAGAACAGGAACTTGATATTTGGTGAAGGATTGGGCCACTGCCTTATTTTATCCAGTCTGGGCAGCACGTGTTCATTGTGATCCAAGGTAGGCCGTATCCAGGATTTGCTGATCTGAGGGTGAAAAACGGCACCCAGCCACCACGCAGGTTCCCCGTTTTGTCCGTGTGCGTTTGGAAGGATTGGGAACCGATCTGTCTGCTCAGCGTTTCGGACTCAATTCAGTTGCCTTGAGTAGTATACACAGCGGAAAAGGCAGAGGGGCTCTTCTGCTCCTTAGAGGGTCTCTAAGACATGGGTTCCTAGCATGGGTTGGGGCTTCTCCTTCCCGAGAGAGGCGGCTCAGCCTGTGAGCCCGGAGGAGCTGAAGTCCCGGCGAAAGCTATCTCCGCTTTGCCTTTCCTTAGTGAGAAGATCCTGAAGCTGGCTACCAACATCCCGCGAGAGAACCTGGTGTCTCTGGGCACCTGCTTTGGAAAGTTTACCAAGACTCAGAAATTCCGGCTCCATATTACCGCCCTCGATTATCTCGCTCCCTACGCAAAGGTAAAAATACACACACACACACACACACAGAGGGTTCACTGTTATCCACAGGCTTTCAGCATCCACAGTAAGAGGGCTTAAAACCAACCCCTTCTGGATACTGTCCTCCTACTGTATACAACAACTTTATCTGGGTACAGTTGATGGTCCTACGCAAAGGTAAAAATACACACACACATACACACAGGGTTCACTATTATCCACAGGCTTTCAGCATCCACAGCAAGAGGGCTTAAAACCAATCCCTTCTGGATACTGTCCTCCAACTTTATCTGGGTACAGTTGATGGCGTTGTAAGAATGTGGTCTAGATCTTAATGTTTTTGAAAGAAACGCCCCCTTGAACCACGGGGGAAGTTATCATCGCCCCCCTCCCTGTGGTGGCAGCGGTACTGGATCCACTGCCAGCACCACGGCTGCAGACGCCTTCTCGGGTTTGGCTCGCTCCATCACCCCATATCACCCCCCTTCTGTTCTTTCATGCCAGCACCGCGGCTGCAGCCGCCTTCTCGGGTTTGGCTCGCTCCATCGCCCCATATCACCCCCCTTCTGTTCTTTCGCCCCCGCGTCGCCCCTTTTCGTTCCATTGCCCCCCTGAAAAACAAATTCGCCCCCTGGGGGGCGATACTGGCCAGGTTAAGAACCAGTGGTCTAGATCATGACAACTGCAGGGGGAGGCTGGGAGACAAGAGGTGTATGCCAAGCCCCTTGCCTCACTGGGGTCACCATGGGAGTAAACCTTGGATAGCTCCTTTCTGCAGAGTGAGTGGGAGAAAAAAATGAACCTGCTTTCAAACAGCTTTCTTGAAAGAGCTGCTTGGAAAGAAGGGTATTGTTCTGACCACTCCAGTTAGAGGAGAATATCATTGATGGACCTAAACAAAGCTAGCTGGGCAGGAGGTCTCTTGCATGAGTGAGTGACGTGTTCCCATTCCTCTCTGGAAACAGCTTATGGATCGTCCCCTTTTGTTTCTCTCATGTAGTACAAAGTCTGGGTGAAGCCTGGGGCAGAGCAGTCTTTTCTTTATGGAAACCACATTCTGAAATCAGGCCTGGGGCGCATCACGGAGAGCACCGCACAGTACCAGGGCGTGGTGGTCTATTCAATGGCTGATGTCCCTCTGGTGAGTATAAGGTCGCTAGTGGTTGGGGGCAGTCTTGGTGTGTCCAGCTAGGACTTGGAAGACCTGGGTTCAAATCTCTGCTTCTTGAGCATCAGTGGCACTCAGTGATCTTGGGCCTGTTGCTGTCCGAGCCTAGCCTGCCTCGTTGGGCTGTTGTCGGGGGAGAAAAGAGAGCCGTGGGCCCTGTCTTGTGCCCGTTGGTGGACAGATGGGATACGAAGCTAGCAAACGGCACGTGTAGGTGGCTTTTCAGGTAACTTCGTAAAGCAAGGTTGTAACCTCTGCCTTTTTCTGTTCGATCTTCTCAGGGTTTTGGAGTGGCAGCCAAGACCACCCAGGAGTGCCGGAAAACAGACCCCATGGCGATTGTCGTATTTCACCAAGCAGATATCGGGGAGTACATACGGCACGAGGAGACGCTGACTTAAATCAAGGAGCAGAAAAACCCAAGGACTTTATCCCAGAGACTTTTCCTAGACTTCCTAGCAACCTGTAGCCCTTCCCGTGCCGACGCGAAGGCCGGCTGTTTGAGTCCCTTCTTTCCAGGAAGAATGGCGAGAGAAACTGTGTCAAGCGCCTGATGGAATGACGACAAGGAGGAGGGACCGTCCTCGCCTGGGGGTGGGGCTGTACTGTCAGGCCTGCTGTTTTCAGGGACATGATAAACTGACCCAGTAAAACAATTTAATGTTAACCCTTTGATTGCCTTCCTCACAGTGTCCTCAGGGAGCTGACTAGTCTTGGGTGGAATGTCGGAAGTTGCCTGTTGCAGAGTCAGGCCCCAATCTGGGTAACCCAGTAATGCCGGCCCTTGACAGACAGCTCTGGCTCTCTAGGCTTTCACAGGGTTTTCCTATCCCTACCTGAAAATGCTGGACTGGACTGGACTGGGGGGGGGGCTTCTCCATGCAAAAGGAGTGTGCTACTCCCGTGCCACAGCCCTTTCCTGAAGGGCAAGACCTTTTCTCAAACCGGAGTAGTGGGGAACCAGACTCCAGTTTTGCTGAGCCACAATGAAGAGGCAGCCAGATTCTCCCTCCCTTGTGCCGAGTATTTTAATATTTTGACACCATGGATAAGTGAATCAGTAGATTCTGATCCCATGGGTAAGGGGATCCTGCTGCACTTGGTCAATGTAAGCTGTTAGCTCTGAAGGCTGCAGGAAAGGCTTCAATACATAAATTGTGCCTTTTAACCTAGGAAAGCTTTATTCTAAATCAGGCTCCTACGAACAGCAGGACATGTTAGTCGCTTGTCTTGCAGCCGCTTTTAGATGGATTTTTCTTGTTCTGGTGAGATCCTTCAAAGCTCCCAGAAAGGAGCAAGGCCAGCCGATGGAAAGGCTGCCAAGAACACTCTGCTCATCGGAGGTTGGTGTGTGGGTGTTCCTGCCTTGCCAGCCGTTCAGTCAGATCAGGGGAAGGCATAGCGAACGCCCTTTCCCGTGGCCGTTTGTCTGGCATCTGGGCCTGCCCGGAACAGCCGCCTTAGCACCGTGGCTTGTTGGCGGGCTGCGCGTTGAAGAAGCGCTTGAGAACGTAGAGCTGGAGGAAGCCCGAGAGGACAATGGCCAGGCTCTGGGCGGCCGACCACCAGTTCACGTAGCGGTAGTTGGACTGCAGCAGGGAGAAGTCGGAGGCGCTCCTCATCCGGGAAGCGCTGTAGTAGCGCCACATGTGGAAGATGTAAAGCGTCAACTTGCTGGTGCTCACCTGTTGCAGGAGGAGGAGATAAAGGGGTTCAGCCCTCGGATCTCCTGTGCAAGAGGAGCTTGACCCTGGTTTCCTAAGTGGCGTTACCAGCAAGGTCTCCGTAATCTGTACCTTTCAGTCGTTCTGATATTTACCTCGATGGCCTCCAGGGTGTCGTTGAGCTGTTTTCCCTCAAGTTGTGGTGGGTGTTGTGGGTCAAAGCCCTCGTAGAAGACGCCAAAGTTAAGGTAGACTTGCACGGATCCAAAGCGGTTGTACCGGTTGCTGATGCACAGCTGGTAGAAGCCTTCCCGCCACCACCCAAAAGAGAAAATACAACCCACAGACAGGCATTCGCATAAGAGGATTTCTGCACAAAACGGCTGCCGGGTTCTACAATGAGCAGAGGGTGACAAGGTGGACGTCAAGAAGAGTTTGCAAAGGGAAAAGAGGGGGGGAGGCATGGAAACCCGTTGGGGTTGGGGAGACTGAGCATAGCCACGGGAGCGCCGTTACCTGTCTCGTCCGTTAGGAAGCTGATCTGTCCCCGCACATCCTGGGAGGTGCCGAGGAGGAAACCTTTGGGATTGTTAGCCGTTGCCAGGATGTGCCTGTCCTGGCCGATCCCGGACGCCCACTGCACCTGGAATCAAAAGTCGTGGAATAAATACGGAGAGGATCTTGGAAGCCTTTTCTCTTTGGAATTGGGTGGCTGATTGTATTATCGTGGAGGCCATCAGAAACAGACCCAGCAATAAACGCACAGGAGAGCTGCTGTTGGTAGAGCACAGCTTGCGTCCCAAGGCAGTAGATCCGTTTTGGCTCAGCCATCGGGCAAAGGATACGTTGCACCCTGAGGACAGCAACGAGACTTGTCCGTCTCGGGAGAGAGCAAGTGTTAGACCAAGAAAAAAAGAAACCTTTTCTTGCCCCAAAGATCACACTAGGGCAGCACCACAGAATCACAAAGGAAGAGTCTCGGAAGTCATTTAAACTCCTGGTCGTATAGGAACCAGCAGGACACACATCCCTGACAGGTGGCTGACCGGGGCTGGACTCGCTGATCCATATGGGGCCCCTTCCAGCTCTGCTGTTCTGAGAGCATCCTTATTCCTGCCCCTTCTTCCAACGTGGGCTTGGCCCACTCTTCCCTCGGTGCCCACCCCGGGTACCCACCTCATAGCTGAAAAAGAACTGGCCCGTCTGATGTGCAAACTGCCAGAAGCACTCCGTGTCACCTGCACGGATGACTATGGCAAAGTCGTTCTGGTCTGCCCCGCGGAAGAGAGGCTGGTCCCCGCTCAGGGGCTCGGTCTTGGGGGCTTGGACAAGCCCCAGGCCCCCCAGCAAGCCCACAAGGGCAGCCACGGAGAGCAGTGCAAGCATGCTGCCAGGGGATGCCAGCTGGTGCACCAACAGGCAGGCAGACAGGCAGGTAGCCGAGGCAATCATTAACCCAGCGCCTCCCGCCCAGTGTTTGCTTTTACTGCTGAATCAAATGCAGTTCCTCCAGGGAAAGCTTCAGTTCTGTTAAGGTCACACTCCCAGCAAAGCCAAAACAGAGAACACACACCTGTTGAATTCCCAGCTCCGACCAGCCCCGGCCGGGGACGCTGCTAGCGTAGCCGTCTGGCCTTTCGTGTTATTCCCAAAAGCTCCCTTCTGAAGGCAACGGGGACTTCTTGAGGCCGGAGTGAGAACACGCCCCCCCCCTTTGCCATCCTTCCACAAGCCGGCAAAGACCTTTACGTTAATTGTTCTTAACTTTAAATATGGTCTTCTCGTGATGTTAACCACTACAGTATACTCATTTTCAACTTTATTGTCTTTCATGGTTGTAATGCTGCCTTGGGTCCTTTTCAAGGAGAAAAGCTGGGTAAAAATATTTTAAATAAACTGACTGAAGTGGGGTGGGCTGAAGTGCAGCCTTCAGGTGTGGCGGCAGCCCTGCAAATCCCAGCAGCCTTTGCTGGCACAGTCAATGCCAGCTGCACTCCTGCAACATCTGGAGGCCCACCGGGGATGAAGGGAAGGCTACCCAGCGACGGAAGGTCAAGAGGGTCAAAGCGATGCTAGGCGTAGACGGGGGACCTGCATCACCTGAAACCATTTGTTACCTATTGGAAGATCCACATTTTAGTCTGAACTCAGCCGGAGTGCTAAACTGCTCACCTACTACTCTTCTGGTCCACTGCTTCACTTTGTATTTAAAAAAAACACAAGCTGATTTGATGCTTCTCTTGGCCTGGAGCGTCCAGGACTTTAAAAAAACACACACTCGTTCTTTCTGCATGCCCCTCCGCCCACCCACCCACCAGCGGCTGTGTGCTCCTCCCTCCTCAGTCTTGACAGGGCTCCCTGGGTATGACTTCCCCTGGCTTACACGAGTGGAGGCAGAAGGACACTTCGTATATTCCAGGAGGGCGTTTTCTCAGCAATCTGAGATAAGACAGGTGTGCCTTTGTGATTGGGTTTGCCAGGCCATCGAAGACACGTCACAAGAAGGGGAAGGAGAGAAACAGCCTGGAAACAAGTGGTGTAGTGTTTGGGATCAAACCTTCCCTACAGCAAAGCAAACCTCAGGCAGGAAGTTGAGGAGGGTCAGCAAGAACCAGTTGTCCCACACACAGAGCAGGATAAAAGCAGAGAGATTCAAATTTATCAGATGCTCTGCCAGCTTAGTAACATATCGTGGGGTCTCCCACCCTGATTTTTCCAGAAAACCCAACACACGAACCTAGAGATGTGGAGGTTATTCACAAAATATTCAAATGAATAATCCGACACCCAACACAAATTTCTTTCTTCTTGCCAAGAAGAGACTAAAGGATTTTGTTTCCTTAAGCTGTTTTTAAGATGAATGTATTTTGGTTCTCTGCACAGTGTCTTTCCTGTTGAAAAGCCAAGTGTGCCTCTACAAGCAAGCACAGGACTGGCTGACTCTTAAGAAAAATGCGGACAACCCCGTTCAAAGTGTTAAGACTGTCCAACATCCCAAAGCTTAGGGGTAACTCCCTCCCCTCCACTTGTTTTGTGCAAATGGATTTCTTTTAGGAAAAACTATCAGATTTGCAATTGGGATTATCACGAAATCTTGGTTGGTCCTTGCAGGTGATAATGCACCAATATGAGCCACAGCACAATGGCAGAAAACCAAGACTGGACACACAGGTTTCTGTTGCAAAAGAAAGCCCCCAGGTGGTCAAGTCCCAATATTCATATGAAGCGTATTTCAGTAAATATAGCTGTGCCCACTTTTCAGTGAAAGCTTCTGTGGCAAATGTCCATTCATCCTGCCAAAATGGACTATGGCAGGCAGAAATATGTCCTTAAGTGTCTTCCACAGGAACAACTATTTCCCCAGTTATGCAGCATTCTGCGGCGGTGGCTGCAAAATGGGTGCCCCCTGCCCAGGCAGGTTTGATCCTGCCTTTGAAGAGAAATCATGGACGGTGGCCCAAGAACAGATTTGGTACAAAAGTGCTTTATTTTGCAAAAAATATAACTTTCAATCCCCAACTTTTTTTAGCTCCAAAGAATGCCGAGGAAAACCCCAGCAACCTCATCGATCGGGAGCTTAGATCAAAGACAACGTGATGCTTAAATCTGTACTCTCAGCAGGGCGCTCAAGCCCCAGTTCTGCCTGCCACGCGCCAGGAAACGCCACGACCGCGTGTACTTCCAGGAGAACATGGAAAGCTGTACGCGTCTCGCCTCTCTTTTCAAGGGGGACTCTCTTCCCCCCCGACGCCAACCGTGGCCAAAAGTCTCTCAAACTGTTCTTGAAACACCCTTGAACTCTTAACAGTGACAGAAACCGCCTGTCAATCACCTGGAACTGAAGAACGAGCAACGCGCCCGCCCTGCCTCGAAGCACAGGGCGCTCATTCCAAACCGAGGGATCTGCGGTTGCCTTTTAACAACAACGTTCTGGGGAAGCCAAAGGGCCCCCTCCCCTTGCAAAGCCGGTTGGCAACTAGCACTTCGTGAGTCACAAGGTGGGCATGCCCTGGTGGTCCTGCATCATCTCTAGAGAAAGTCACTTTGGCCGGGGTCACTTAGACACTCAGCTGCCCATCTGGAAAATCTTCCCTGGGTTTGCTACAACCCCAGTTTCTTCATGGTCCTCCAGCGATCCTTGATCATCACCGGAGTGCGCTTCTTGAAAGGGTACGCCCGGCAAATGGCTTTCCAGTTCCCTTCTCCGAACCTCCGCACACCTGCCTTGACCCAGGCGGACTCCTCGACTGTCCACTTCTGCAAGGAAAAGGTCAGAGAGGCTTCCCAGCAACGAGGAAGGGCCCCGTCAGAGGCTCCCCTCCCAACTCACCACCACACACAGACACGCTGGGGCTTGACTGGCAATGCTGCTACCTTTGTACAATTTTGCCCACAGAGGGGAGATACAGCACAGGGACTGATACTGGGAGGCGTTTAGCCCTGATCTTAAGGCCTTAATCCCATTGGGAAGGGCTTCCTCTACACCTCAGCCCTGTGTTTATAATACAGGGCCAGTCAGACTAATCTCCCTTTAAATGTTACCAAAGGCAGAAAAGAGATGATATGCATTTAGATAATGGTAAACAAATATGTAGACACACACATACATCCGTGTTTCTGGAGTGAGAGAGCAGGAGGTCCTGGGGCAGAACTGGGGTGGTGCAAGAGAAGAAACAGGCACTATATTTTATGCCCCCCAGGTAAAAAATAAAACAATATTTCAGTAAGAGGCTCACAACAAAAAGCGGTGGAAATGACTGCCTGAGCTTCTCAGACATGTCATGGTTGGTTTAAGGGGGGCCCATAGCTCAGTAGTCAAGCACACATGACTGCCGTGTTCTCTGGGGAAAAGAGGCCTTGGGCTCAGGCCACCTTGTGTGGGTTTGGAGCCCTGCTTCGGGGCGGCTACCTTACCTTCTTCTTGTTGCTAGCAATGCAAGTGCTCCTGCGGCCTCTCCCCTCTGAGTCTGAAAAACAAATCACATCAGCAGCTTCATCTTCTTACAGACACACAAAAAATATGTGCTACCATTAAGGGACCTTTCCTTTCAAAAAACAAAGAGCTATTTACCACCAAGTAATGTACCATAAGCTTGGCTAGACAGCTCAGCTGAGGTTGGGAGTTCAATTCCCCCACTGGGCCTCCTGGGAGAAGAGGCAGCCTGGGGGGCCTTGGGCCAGCTGCACGGTCCCAGAAGAAGGAAACAGCGAAACGCTTCTGAGTATCCTCTGCCAAGAAAACCCTGGTTCACCCCAATTCAATACTGACTGGGCAGCACACTGCAGCAAAATGCCCCAGAGGATACATGGCGCTGCTGTACTTGATTATACCGGAGCCAAGTGGCTTTTTTGTCTCTCTGGCAACCCAACGTTTGCTCCCCCTACTAACCCGGTCCCAGTGGGCACCCCCTGCCTCCACCCCCGAGACCCGAAGCATGCAAAGGGGCAGAAAGTGCCTCTCCCGCACCCCCTCCCCTTACCCTCGTCAATGAAGAGTTCATCCTCGCCGCTCCAAACCTCCTTCTCTTCATCTTGACCGGCCGCGTCCACCCTCTCCTTGGCCAGCCTGAGGGCAGCAGAAAAGAAATGCAGGCTGTCGGCAAGCAAACCCGTGACGCGGAACAGCGAGAGGGTTTTACGTGGGGCTGCCTTCGAAGATGGCCAGGAAACGTCAGCTGGAGCCAAATGTAGCAGCCACGCTACTGCCAGAGAGGGCCAGTTATCAGGGAGCATATAATGCCCCTGCACTGGGTTACCAGTCCATTTTTTGGGCCAAAATTCCAAGTGGGGGCCCATTATCTATAAAGCCCTACGCAGTTTGGGTCCAGGCTACCTAAAGGGCCATATCTCCTCCATGCGAGCCTCCTTGGTGCCTAAGATAATCAGACAAATAAATCATAAATAAGACCCATGCCCCAGTCAAGGTGAGGGATGTGAAACGGAGCCGCTCGTGTCCATAGATACTGTACGCTTCACGGGAAAGCACCGAGGTGGGGGGGGGGACCTTACATATGGCTGTGATCCCTTCAGGCTTCCAGGCCACCGCCCTGGACAGCAGGCCCTGGCAGGGGAAGAGGGGCTGAGCTGCTGCTATTCCACTCTTGTGGCAAGAGGAGAGGACCGTCGCCCACCTACCTGGCAGGCAGGGGGGCAGCTGGCTGGGCAGGCCTTTGGGGTTTTGATGGCAGGATGGACAGAGCCACAAACAGTTCCTTGTGGAAAGCTCGCCTGTTCTCAGAGCCGTTCTCCTTCCCCATCAATAACTTGTTTATGGTTACTTGCTGTTTGGCGTTCTGCTGGCAGGAGTGGGACCCAGAAGCCACGGGCTCCTCCTCTTCCTCTCTTGGCCGTTTGGCTCTGTGGGAGGTCGACGGCGAGCCCAGCTTGGGGCAAGTCCAGTCTGTCTCGTCCAGCTTCAAAAACACTTCGTCAGGATTGGGAGCATCGCCACACAGGACCCGGTGAGCTTCTTTCAGAACAGAATATCCGTAGGAGGTTGGCCTCCCGGGTGGTTGCCTTACACAGAAAACAAAAACAGAAGCAGGCTTCACGGCTGTTTTGCTGACAGGGGCTTCTCGTGATTTCAGCTCCTCTTGTCTCGACCCTGCTTCCCCCCCACACACACACACATTCGCACAGAAACACACAGAAAAATGCCTCCCCCACAGCATCCCCTTCCTTAGTCCCCAAACCACCAAGAAACACAATGAAAACCGCCGAGATCTTTGCCTTTGTGCAACAATTCCTACTCCATGGGGGGAATGGCAGCTTTTGAGTGACAGCCTGCTGTTCTCTCAGGCTGCATGGAAAGACTTGTCTCACCCCCCCCCCGCCCCAGAGCAAGACAGATCATCAGGTAGACACACCTCCACGTAGCTTCACGTGGACGTTAACGACAAACCATCGTTTGCTCTCCTAATCAGCTTCAGGTTGCCTCTGGACCTCGTCCTCTGGTCTAGCATAAGACTAATCGGTCTGAACTCACATGTGGCTGACATGTCCCCTCGGCAAGTAGGGGCGCATGCAGGCTAACCCTACTCTAAGGTTCAAACAAGAGTGAAACTCTCGAGCCACTCGGTTATCAGATGGGTGGTCTCAGGCTTCTAAGCAAAGAGCCAAGCAAAATGCTGCGTATCCTTCCTAGGGAACAGTGGCAGCTCTCAGCATGCCTCCTTCAGATGGGGTGGGAACCATGGGGCTTCCAGACCTTCACCATCTGGAGAAAAAGGACTGGAAACTTCCAGAAAGGACTTCTGGAGGCTCCCACGGATGGGGATTCTCCTTCCAGTCCGGATACAGCTCGCCTCAGTACTTTGGAAAATCATTTTAAAATGCCTTTGTTCTAACACTGGAAGTAGATCTCTGTTCTCTTCTGTCTGTTCCTTTCTTTCTACAGGGGGTGGGGGTGAGGGGGAGCTCCTGGGCCCCCCAGAGCTGGCCATCTCTTGCCCCACGGCCTTGCCCCACTGGCCAAAAAGTCTCACTTGCACAGAGGAGCTCACAGCCTGGAGGGCAGGCAGGCAGGCAGGCAGGAACGGGTGCCCATGGCTTCCAGCCTCACATCCCTCGCAGCGGGCGGGCAGATGCCATTCCCCACCGCAGGGCTCCGTACCTGTCTGAGTCCTTGGGGGCTGCCAACACAGGGGAGGAAGCAGCAGCAGCACCCACAGCAGCACCAGCAGCAGGGTCTGTCGCCACTGGGGGTTCGGCCACTGTGGCCACCTCAGGGGCCACGTCGGCACACTGCACCACCACCTCCTTCTGGCTCTCTCCATCCGCTGGCACGGGCCCGGCGTCTGTCTCATTGTCTCCTTCCACAGACTGTGGGTGTTCTTCCAGCAAGTCTCCCGTCTTGCCCTCGGGCTCGGAGATCCCGTTCGGTTTCTTGGGTTCTGGGTCTGCGGCCCCTGGCGCCTCCGGGGCCTCCTTTCCTCCTCCTTCCTTTTCTGCCGCTTTGGACTCCGCCGCCACCTCGTTCGCCGCCCCCACGGGATTGAACCGGGGTCCTGTCTTCTCAGCCAAACGCTTTTGGGCCATCTTCAATAAGGGGCATGAACAGAGACACGTAATAGTACTCTACTGCATCCCTTTCCCCTCCCAATCATGTACGGACGTCCGTCTGCCAGAGACGAGGCAGGGCCTGTTCCCTGTTATCAAGGCCCCTTGTTTTCACCCCCACACTCAGGCCAGGAATCCCAACAGCCTCGCTGGTCAAAGCGCCTGCTTTCAACCTCAGATGCGTCACATGCATCTTTGGTTATGCAGGCTATCAGCCCTTGCAACGATCCCTCTTTTTTAAAACTACGGCCGTCAGCATGGCCAGGGGCTCCGCTAGCCAGGGGACTCTTAGAAAGCAACCTCTGAGCAGGGCACGTGGACCTCCACGCCCTCCATCCACATAGTACCTTGCTCCAAGCCACGCTCACCTTGAGGAGGAAGGGCTCAGAATCATCCAGGTAGCCTTCCATAAACATGAACATCGTCTGCTGGAAGGAAGGGTAGGAGAAGTTCCAGATGACTGGATGAGAGAAGTTTTTCTCTGCGATAACGCTCTGAAGCAAAGTCCTCATTTCCTGGAGGAGGAAAAATTATTATTCTGAGTGTTTCCAAGTGAATCGGAAGGAAGGAACATTCACGGGCTGGGAAGGTTCAAGGAGGGTGGCCATCAGCCCACCAGAAGGTATAAACTGGCACAGACTGGAAGTGGAATGAGGCACAAATTGCACCGAGAACATTCTTGAGATACAAGGGTTTCTCCCAGTCAATAAGGTGGACAAGAAGCACCAGTTATTTTGAGATAAATCCTAGGTTTGAGGATAAAGAAGAGCAAGTCGTAACTCTGGCATCAGAAGAAGATCTATGACAGGGACCTCCATCATTTAGCCTTCCTCAGCCAGAAAGGATATCCCCCCCCCAAGGCTCACCTGGCTGCTTTCATCTTTTGACAAGTGCTTCTTCAAGATCTTACTGGCTTGTTCATATTCTTTGTTTTTCACACAAGTGATAACAGCCTAGGGCAGAAAGTAAAATAAATAAACAAACAAACAAACAGCATGGAATATGTTCTGTGGATTCCCCTAATCCACGGAGAGGCTCTGCAAAGATCTGTTTCATGCAGTTCTCAGCCAAACTGGATTCTTTTCTGGGCTACTGAGAGATCCTGAAGGAATCACAGCTCCGTTCATGACCGCAGGCTTTGCAGGAGCATTTAGACTGAGTCCTGGGCATCAGTCAAGACCTAGACCTCACATTTGGAAGGCTGGGGAATGTGTCCTTCAGCCTCCAGGCTCTCAGGAGGGACACTGCTAGATAGACAGAGCAGTACGGGGGCTCCATGGGCTGCTGAGTTGATATGGTATATGCAAAGCTCTTGCCTGCGTTTTCTACTGCAAAATCCCTGGAAAAGCTCATTCATTACTCTAGGTACTCTGCATCTAGGTTGACACCTGTTTCACAGTTGAGAATTTAAGAGTTGTCCTCAACAAAGTGTTTTGGCCGCCAAAGCGACAAAGAACACACTGGGCACAGATCCCACTTGAAGTGGTTTTGTAGCAGACATAATCTGTCATCCATCAAATATTAGGAAAATGCAATGCTTTGGGCAAGGGCAGAGCGGCTACGGCCCACAAGCAAAGGTTTTCATGGAAGGGTCAGGTACTCATTCTACTTATTCTTCTGTCTCTGTTCGGACTCTATCGGCATCTTCCTTAGCTTGAGTCATGGGGACAGGTGCAAAATCAGCATCTCTGCTTTTTCCAGAAACAGCATCTACGTTAAAAATCCCCCCTTTTTTTTTCCTTTTGGCCTAATGTGCCACTAAATTAGTTCTCCAGCATTTCTGGTACGGGGAGGACCAGTTTCTTGGCTGCTCCCATTGCCACCCAAAGCAGAGCTCATGTGTTTCAACCACAGGGCAAGGAACGATTCACTGCCTGACCACTGCTTACAGAACTGAAGAAAGCCCTCTAACTCGGCAGACCTGGAGAACACTTGTGTGACCAGGGAGGGATTTTTATATGGAAAGGTTCTCATGTATGGAATCTGGAACACAAAACGGTTTCCTGAGTTGAGATCTCTTTTGTAGTAGGCCCTCGCGCATGGATCTCACGCTTTTAATAAATACCAAAGCTGATCCTACAACCTCCAAAGCAGGACAAACTACGAAGATGTTTTATAAGCCAGTAACTTCTCTGAGCTGGTAAGTCTGATGGAAGAATGCAAATGAAACAAAAAAATATGGAAGCAGCAAATTCTGAGCTATGAAACTGTAGCTAAAATCAAACCTTCCTCTGAATGCCCTCTTTCAAGCCAAAGAAACACAAAAGCATCCAGGAGAAGAGTTGTTTTCTTGCCCCCTGACTAAGCTGCTTCAATTATTACTGTCTACAGAAAATAAAACATTAGCTCTTACAGCTTCCTTTATCTGCTTCCTTATTTTCTGGAATACAGACTCCTCCATTTTCAATTCCTCCTTCATCTTGTCCAGAAGCTGAAGAGCGCATTCAAGTGGGGTCAGCTTCGTCTTTGCATCAATGGTCCAATCTACAGTACCAAAATAAAACACATCATTTCCCCCACACACAAGAAAACATACTGCTTTTTGTCTGCTTTCTTCTCTTGAAACATTGAGCAACATGTACAATGTGCACATGCGCATGCACAACACCTTGTTGTTATACGCCATCCAGTCACTTCTGATTTATGGCAATCCCATGAACGAGTGACCTGTAGAAGGTCTTGCAAACCCCAAGGCCCACCATAGGTTCCTTTACTGGATCAGGCCATTTAATGTTTGCTCCTCCTCTCTTCCTCTGTCTTCAGCTTCTCCCAGCCCTAGGTGACTTTTCTGTTTGTTTGCTTGTTTGTTTGACCTTTATGCCACTCATCTGGCTGCCAAGGCCACTCTGGATGATTTACAACACAATAGCTAAGACTTTAAAACAGTAAACATACACAGTAAACAGAACAGCTTTAAAAAAATCAAAATTAACATGAGTACATTTTATTTATTTATTTTTTGGACTTTATTTATTTTATGTAGACAAAACTACATAAAATTAACTATAAGGTGATTTAAAGGCAAGATAGCAGAACTGACAATTTGAACTCTAAGACAACTGCTGTGTCGTGATGTTACAGGCTCCAGGAAGGCCTATCCGAAGGGTTGTTTTCAAAGATTGTTTTTAAGGCCCTTTTCTTCTCAAATTCTGGCCAAAGTACAATTGATGGAGTTTAATCTTTTTTGCTTCCAGAAAGAATTCAGGCTTGCTTTGATACAGTGCCCACTTGCGCGTGTGTGTATGAAAAACTGTCATAATAGTGTTTTTGCACTAATGGGGCTGCATATAAATAAAACAAATAAATATACATAAATATTTATATCTCTAGATGTCCTAAAAGTTCAAAATCCTGTGTTTTGCTTATCACCTCCTACAGTTCCAACCAAAGATCCCCAGGCCAAAGAGACACAATGAGGAGATTGCAGGACAACGACTCACCTTCTTCAATCCTAGAGAGAAACTGGACGATCCGCAGCCGAAGACAGATGCTCTTCTCTAGAACCAGGGGTCTGACCAGCACAGCTGGAGAAAACATAGCAGAGGCAATGAGGGAGGCACAACAGGGAAGAGGATTAGATAAGCCCGCACTTTTTTTTTTTAGCAGACAGGTGAGAGTATAAATTGAATAAAACAGATAAATAGTATGAAAACCTGGCTAAGACACAAAACATTTCAGCCTGTGCCCTTCACTGAGGATGGCAAGCGTTAAAGTACCCTTGAACAGATCACTCCTCCAAATTTAATATGCCTGCTGGAGTCCAGGAACTGTTTGCATATATAGATGACTAGGCATCAGCTGATGGACAGGATACATTATTATTTAATTTGAATTTTATACCGACCATGTTACCATAGTCTCTCGAGCCTGAAGGATGCCTACAATCTACAAAATACCAACCATCTGAACAGGGGTCACTCTGGGCAGTTCACAGACAATAATAAAAATGTGGCATAATCAAGTGCATTAAGTTAAATTAACAAATTAAAACTTGAAGAGTACACCTTTTTAAACAGAGCTAAAAATAGGCAGCCATTGGGTAGAAGGCTGATGCTTTTAGGGATCATAGGTGGGCAGATTTTGAAAAGCCTGATGAAATAAAAATGTTTCTAGAAGTTTCTTAAAGGAGATCAGGGAGGGGGCCAGGTGAATTTGAGATAGTAATTCATTCCAAAAGTAGGGTGCAACCACTGAGAAGGCCCAGCTCTTTGTTCCCTCCCTCCAGGCCTATCTTGGTGTCGGTGCCCTCAGCCATCCGTCCTGAATGGCTCCCCGTTGGGATAATGTGTAAATAAACACATCTGAACTATGAAACAGTTGGCCTTGTTTCAATGCCAAAATATTTTAAATACTTAATGTGCTAATGTTTTAATATGCAACTGCTTATTGTTGCTATATTGTTACAGTGCTTTCTGTGTTGAAACTGTGTACTGTATACTGTATTTGTAATATGTTTTCTGTTTGATTATGTTGTGAACCACCCAGAGTAGCCTGGCTAGATGGGTGGTATACAAAATAAGTGAATGAATGAATAAATGAATGAACAGATAGACAGGCAAGACCGATGAAAGCCAATGGGCAAATAAATAAATAAAAATAGAAGCCTGAAAAATAAACCCATCAGTAGCCTAGACAGATGAAAATATAGAGAAAAATTATAGATAGATGCATGGATGGATAGAAAGAGTAGCCTGGCTAGATGGGTGGTATACAAAATAAGTGAATGAATGAATAAATGAATGAACAGATAGACAGGCAAGACCGATGAAAGCCAATGGGCAAATAAATAAATAAAAATAGAAGCCTGAAAAATAAACCCATCAGTAGCCTAGACAGATGAAAATATAGAGAAAAATTATAGATAGATGCATGGATGGATAGAATAAA